GCTGAAATCACGTACCCTTTAAGCCACCCATCTTGCAAAAGTTACATAGTTCAGGAGGGCAGACTCCATATTATAAGTATTTAATTTTCGTCATCCCGTCTGTAGTGAATAGTTTGTATTTCCTGAGCTATGAACATAGCCATCTCTCTGGTGCCCGCAGCAATCACTCGGCAGGACATAAGATCCAGAGGTCCCCCTGAGGACAAGAGGATTAATGAGAACTGTCTTAGGTGATGTAAAAAGGCAACGTATTCTTAAATATAAACCATGCTGTAATTAGATAAGTTCCGAAACACTGAAACAACTTCATATGTAGCTCCTTTTGGGGTGGGAAGGACTACCTAATTCAGCAACTCCTATCTGGAAATCTCCGGCAAAAAACGATTTCAGAAAATTCTAGATACAGTGCCAAAGTCTGCAACAGAAGCAGCAAATGTCTAGATTTGTTCAGTATCCAACAATAAATGCAATATTCCCTTCTTTTAGCAACAGGAAGGGATAGAACAGAAATTAGTTCAATCAGCATACCCTTCTTCTTAATCCACTGTATCTTTCCACAGTAGCCACGTACTGGTCGCCAGTAAACCATTACTCCGAGATGTGTACCATCTAAATGAATAAAACAATAATCCAGAGACTGTGCTGTCGTTTACTCCCTCTGAGTAGTTCCTAGTCATATATGTTCAGCCATGCACCTGAGAGTCCTCCTTTCTTGGGAGGCTGTCTCTGCCAAAATCTGTTTGGGGTCTGAGCATATCTACCAGTCTCCTGGGCTAGTTCTTTACTGTAAATCTGATGCTTTAAAGGAATTACTCAAAGTCATGGAAATACAGTGTGACTCAGAAGACCTTTGATGTGATTAAACCCCAGGCTGGAATTACATCAGTGTGTCACGAATAACCAGCCAGAGTCTAGTGGAGAGTACAGACGTTTTTACAGAATATTGCTAGAAATAAGATAGAGCCACGGGAGAAGGACTGTACTGAGGTAACACAACTTGCCCCAAAACAGCCACTCAGTCCCCAAAAAGCCCATGAAAACACGGATATTTTACTCACCTGAAGTGTCTATCACCGTGCCACCCGCCTCTCTAATAATGACAGTCGCCGCTGCCAAGTCCCAGCAGTGTAACCCGAACTGGTAATAGGCATCTGCAGCGCCGGATGCCAAATGGCACAGAGCCAGGGTCGAGCTCCCGATGACGCGGACCCTAAACCCCACGAGAAGGGGACATGGTAACGTAAAGCAGAAAATGCCTTCGATTTCAACCTATGTGTCGAGATCGCAAAATATGCAATGTACTTGTGGGGTTTTTTTTTGTTTGTTTGGTTTTTTTAATGACTTTTGGCCACAAATGCGAGACATATATTGTAAAATATCTTACCCGTGTGCTTGGGCCTTGAGCAATCTCTCAATGTTACCAAGGAACAATTTCAAAGTTGCAGGGTCACGTTTTGGACCAATTTCTGTTAAAATTAAGGCCTTCGAGATATCTGCAATGTAGGTAGTTGTTTCCATTAATTCAACAGCTTCCAGGTAGATTCTGGAAATTTGTTTTTAAATTAAACACTAATGGACTTTTCACAGAAAAACTATTTTCACGTCCCTTTTTTTACCCCAAACTCTTTCATAGCAGAAGTGACAACTTTGCATAAAAATTCAAGCAAGACTACATTTCTCATATCAAACAGTCTGATCTAAACACACCTTTAAAAAAAAAGAACAGGAATATTAAAAACAAGAATGCATTCTTACATTCCTTCTCTTTCCATACATTGTTTTATTTCATTAACTGGTCAGCTTTTGGCAAATTCACTAATGCGAGCAGTCAACTAAAAATAATCCAGTGACCTAGTAACTATTAATGATGCTAATCTAATCATATTTGAAAACAGGATGGTTCTTGAATAGGGGACTTTAATGCAATTTCTTAACAAATTATAAACATTTGGGAATACAGTAAGAGGAAAGAAAAGTTTCTACCTAAATCACCAGTCACCCAGTAATAGCTCCCTTTCATTTTGACATTTCAAAGACTGAAGACACCTTATGGCTGAAAAAAACCCCAAACTAAAGCAGTACCTTAATTAATAATAACAATATATGAATGTTACATTTGTGTTGTGTTCAGCAAAGGCAATTCTGACCTACAGCAGATAAGGATATCAGCCTTACGTACAGTCAAAGGAGAGACTCACAGTGACTTGCAAGGTGTTGAAGTAGTCCTCACGTGAGATCTGAATATTGCTAGTATATAACAAGCGTATACCAATGTAGGTGGAGATGGCTGATCAAATGCCAAGTGTCCCTGCTTCTGCTGTGCGAGCTGAACTCGGAGGTGTTGAAGATATGATAAAACTCAAAGGTTTAGCGGTTGATTAGTTACTAGCTAGGCTGTGCCCAAGTGTCAGGTTCTGACCCTTGGGTTAAAGGCTACGGATTCATTCAGATAGAGAATGTCTACCTGGTTGTTACAGCTAATTGCATAAGTTGAAAATTCTTAGCAGAAGTAGCAAGGAGGTTTTCAAAAGCAAATTAGGCTGGAGTGAGACATCATTTAATTAAACAGGCTGCCAATGAATTTAGTATTGCAGAGGAACATTATGGATTTAAGCAATGCGGTAAATGGTTGGTGAGTAACAGGTATGTAATTAGATTAAAAGTTACAGGTTATCACAAAGCTTAACATAGATTTAACAACTGCTTTTTAAATTACTGCATTAAAAATATAGAAACACCAATCCAGGCATGCTGCAGGGTATTCGTTGTTTAGCCAACACTAAAAACTCTGGATGGTGAAAGCAATCTGTCTTCAATTTTTTGCATAACAGACCCAATTTATAATTACAGAACATTTAATGCACGCCTCATTGCTGAAACGCACTGAGCATTCACACCACACCAGTCACAGCTAGGTGATGACTAAGACAGTTGTTCTTCTGAGTTATTAAATATATTTCTAATGCATAAATGGATCTCTTCAATTTTCATCAAGGCTACAGGCAGAAATTGGATGAAGAGACTAAGGCAAGAAAGAGGGAGGTCTCTGCTTAGGAAAAGGAGCTGGCTGATCACAAAACGTGATGGGGTTTCAGGAATTCAAGATACGAGAGAAAATTTACTGACTAATCCTCACTCTGATAGAGGCCAGAAAAATAAGGAGGCTTGGTAGAAGAGATTTAACAGTGATATGGATAGATTTATGAGGAAAAGACCAATTCTGTTGACCACAGAAGATTAAAAAAAAGAAAATACACTTACAGTATTAGCACATGTAAGGCCTGACCTGAATCTAAGCATGAGAAAAACATTATCACTAAGATCAAAGGGAAGATGGATCCTTCATTTAAGTGCATCCTGACTGCTTGGACTCCCATACCAGACCTCTACAAAATTTGGCATTGACAAAGAACCGTGTTTGCCTGGACTGTGATTTCAAATGATTAAATCTGAACGATGAGTGCATAGCGCAGATCAATGTTATACAACAGTCACATTTCCTGAAAACAAAAGGCATGAAGTAACATGACAGCCTAGATCTCCAACACATCATGCATTGGTGAAGGCTACTTGAGTTCCAGTGGTAGGTAGAGGGGAAACACACTCTCTCTTCCAGGGCTGGTTTATTTCACTGAAGCCACAGTTCTTCCAGGAAAAGAGCAACTGTGATTTTATACACTTAAAACACCAATAGAAGTGAGACTAAAGAAGATCCATCTTCACTGGTGAAATTGCCCACCACCAAATGATGTCTCTTAAAACAAAGGAAAATTTCAAAGCATTTGGAAGGGCAGAAGGTCCGCTTCCCTTGCTATGTTCTAGACACCCGACAAAAGTGGCATGTGCCAAAATTGTTCCTTGCTCAACTGGAAACCAGAACTCTCTGACGGCAAAAGCAAGCGAGGCCATTTCAAGAGTGGCTCAGCCAGCCCAACTGGGAGCACCCCTCATTTTTCCTAATAGTCTCTGCCAGCATGGGCTTTTGTGGAATATGAGCTATTCAAGCAGTGACAAAAATGTGACGTACAATCAAGGATTAAAAGCTTATGGGTCACTGACTTTACAGTTTGCTCCCTTTCTCCAAATAGGGAGACCCCAGCTCACTATTAATTTAGGTGAATAGCCAAACTTCCCAAATTTCAGGGAAGTTTTGATGCGGGGTCTGCTTGGGGCACTGCAACAAATCTGTTTGTTAAACTGCTTGAAGTTATTGTGTTTCAAGTTCATTAAATCTCTTTTTGGGGTGTAATTTTTACCATCTCATGTGTACAATGATGTACATTTTTGGCACATGTCTCCTTCTGTCTACAACTGAGTGTTATGTTCTCCTCTGCATTTTGATTGATTAAAAGAAAACTTCTCTACACACATCTGATTATTGTTATCTATTATCATTAGGTAAACAGACAGATCTATGACTTGGTTTACCAATAAAAGAAGCCCATTAAAGCATTGACTAAGTGTTGCTGGCTATTTGTATGTTGAAACGTACCTCACACACAAAAGCAAGCTGTTAAAGAACCCCTAATGAAGCATGCATCCTTTAGTTTACTTTACTGTTAGCGTGTATGCCTACAGACATAATACACTTTACGACGTACAAGTTTATTGGAAAATAAGTGCATAACGGCCGCCATAGTACTCTGAATTTGATTCACCATTCCCATTGCATCTTGCTCATAAAAAGTTATGCCAGTGTACAGCTGGAATGAAACTGGTGAATCTACTCGTTCTTCCTTATTTTAAACAATGGTTATGAAGCAAAATAATTTAGGATTATTTAAATAGTTCATATTCAGATGTATATTTTAAAAAGAAAATGAGGAAAGTTGTGATTCTTCAGAAAAAAACAAACACATAACAACAAAATTATCATGCAGGTGAAATACATTCCATCAGGATAATGATGTTCATTATCCTAATGATGATTTGCAACAACTCTGAAACAAAATTAACATATTCCTTTTAGAGTTCTAACAAAATCTAGACCAACCTGTCTCTTTTGATACCTGAAGCCTTTTGTCATTACAAAATGCCCCTTGACCTCTTCTACCAGTGTATAATCGTTCTTCAGTGCAGTGGTAAATTACACCAAATTCAAGCTTTAAGATTTTGAAAAGGAAAGAAATGAATGCAACTCAAATTACTCATCATAAATATAAACAACTACTAATGGCAGAAAGATCAGCAATATTTTAATTGGTACATGTAATCAAAGATTATATTGATGCTAATAAACTGGAATAATTTTACTATTACTGTGATATTGAGATAAAGGTCATATAAAACTCAGTTTATAAAGAGAAATTAATGCAATCTGTTCATGATCTTCTAAACTCTTACTTGCAGCTTTTTTGTGTTCACATTAGAATGGATTAAATGCTAAGTTGATTTCAAATTCAATTGTATGTTTTTATTGAAAGTATGCAAGTCCTGTAAGGCCAGATTCTGAATGCTTTACTTTCACTGGTGAGCAGTTACACCTAAAAGTAATCCCACTGACTTCAGCTGGACTCTGAGGATTTGCAGCCCCGAATAAATAGTCAGGCATCCAAACTGAAAGTCACGGCACACTGTTTATTGACAGTGGATGCTTCTACATGCACTTCATCTTTCATGATGCATTTAATTTGCCTGCCTTTTCAACCAAAGTAGTACACTCCAGTCACTTGTTCAAAAGCTTCTCTGCAAAATCCTTTTATTTACACATAGAAGTGAGAATCTCATGAAGTCACACGACTCCGAGAGGAGTTTGAAGAGAAGTACCAAATATTGTGACCCTCAATGAAAGCCTGAGAATGAGCAACACTGGAATTTTTGTGGGAGTATTTGTTTACCGATGAGAAGAGGGTCAGAATTTGACCCCTGATTTAAGCCCAAGGTCTTTAATATTTCCATTACTTTAATAGGTCTTGCCAAAAGATTTTAAAGCACTTTACAAACTTCAATGATCACCTCCTAAAATCACCCCTAGATAAGTACTATTAGCAATATTTTATTTAGGGGTGGACAGATAGGCAAAAATAAAGTGACTTGTCCAAGGTCACAGAAGAAGTTGGTAACAAGGTCAAGAAAACATCTCAGATTTTCTAGACTCCAAATCTTTTCCTGCTGCCCTCCTCGATTCAGTGTGAATAATCAAAGGTGCTCATCAGAGACAATTCAAAGGGAATAGACTGTCCTCGCTCCCTACCCTGAGGAACCATCTAAACCAACAGTTTTTTTTGAGGAATACTCTATTAATAGACTGTTCAAGGTTTACATTCAGGCCAGTTCCCCTGTGTGTACTTTGGCTCCTTTTTCAGCTTACTACTTTTTTCTGCTTTTCCCATTTGTTTACTGAGGGAGATTTAACATCATTCTTTATTTTTGTTTCAGCTTTGTTTAGTTTACATAACCCAAAATATGCAGCATCAAAATCATGATGGTGTTCTAGAAAACATAAATATTAGAGAAAGCTGTCTGGTAATAAAATGTAGTATTCAAAAGGACCTTTGGGAATGAATAAACTTCAGAAAAGCATGGAAGTGTTTCTCTGCAGTTTCCATGTTTGAAAACTAACTAGAGAAGTACACGACATTATTCTGTTTAAATCAGTAAGAGCCATTAGCACATCTGAAACCTACGTTGTTATTGCACAGAATTCTTGCTGGCTTCACTTACAGCTATACATATGTTTAAGACCGTGGAATTAGGCTGAAAGAGGCACATTCCTTGGCAATTTGAATAGCTATTTCTTCTGTATATATCAGACTGTAAACCGGCAACACCTGGAGAAAAGGCACTTGCATGAATGAGTATAGCTAGGAAACTCAAAATGGCACATATGAAGGCTAGGTACTTTTTTTTTTTCTCCTGTAATCAAGCTCTCATGCAGTAAATATAGTTATTTTACTACGTTAAAAAAACCACAAAGGCAGATTAAATGAACTAGGCCCATAACTTCGCACTCTTCATAGAAATCAGTTCTGAATTGCCTCATAGCAGCGGTTAGCTGTCACAGATACTTCTAGCAGGAAAGAAGCAATAATAATAACATAAGAACACTAGGAGATACGTTTAAATTATGAATAGGCAGCACTGTATTTAACTTATTATGGTTTTGTCTTACAAAACTTCGCTCACACCAGTACTCCCTTTTTTCCCCACATAAATCCTATAATATTTATAATAATTTGTAAGAATTGTCTTGTAATTGCCAGTTTGCGTAAGTAAGTTTTGCAGGATTATGATTTCAGTAGTAGAGTATGACCAAATGCATTTAAAAAGTGTGGAAAAACCTGAGCAGTGGCTTATTTTTTTTACAAAAATATATTTTATTTAAAGTTCCCACATGGTTTTGAGGCTTCTAACCAGCTCTCAGGTACCCATCTTAAAGAACATACTTCATACCTCTTTGTTAACAGCAAATCCAATGCTCACTGCCACTGTTGGAAATCTGTGAGAAATAAGAAATGAAGTATTATTGATAAAAAAATCTCTCAACTTACTCCTTATGCAACTCCCTTAGGCAACAAAACCCCACATGGAGCTCTGTGATTTTACTTGTGTCAAAATGCTCTTGACATTGTACCATTTCTCCTTTGTCAGCCTCTTTAACTTTGTCAGTTCCTTTAAAATTATAATTTAATATTGGAGAAGGCAAGAAATAAACACAATAAGATATCAGGATTTTTATACTAAACGTGTTGTATATTTTAGTGATCTTTTTGCTTTAGTGTAATTGAATTATCCAGTATAAAATCATTAATGTTGTTATAACAAGTCATCACTTCTAAGAGCACATTTTGTTCAAGTTCAAGCATCTGAGACAGCAATTCGGTAGCATGGAAATACCTTGCTGCTGACATCAACATAAGGAGAAACCAGTTTCTCTACCCTCTCTTTTGTCAAAGTGATGATCATGTATTTAATTTGATCCTTTTGACTAAAGTATAATTATTGCATTTTAAACAATGAAATAAATTAATTTCTTAAAAACATGATTTAAAAAGGGCTGTAAAATAAAGATCCAGAAAATATTGCTAGAAAGAGGAAATTTTGCTTAATTGCATGAAACACCAGTACATGACAACCCCCCACCTCCCCTTGAATTCTATGCAATTGCACCAAAAGTCAAAGAAACGCCTTTTTTTTATTATGATAACTGCAGTTATGTTAAGTCACTAACTATAAGGCAGAACATATTTAAGGTTTTTAAGTAGAAGTATTACGAATAGTCGTTAGCTTACAACTCCTAGCACTCAAATGATGAGCTAAACTTCATTTTTGCAGTAATGATCCCTAGATTTCTTTTTGCAGAGAGGTATTACAGAAATTTAAAACCAATATCTATGTACAGCTTAGTTTTCAGTTCTACTCTACATATGTGCAATGGTTGTACTTCCTAGGAAAAATGAAGCATTTGTATTTGAAAGGGAGAAAACACCACTACTAAAAGGAATGTGTAACAACCACGTAAGGCGTTAGGCCAAGTGTCATCATAGCACAGCCTTGTTCCTCCAGTTCAACTCAAGTCTCTGCATGTTAATGTGCGGTTATATATAAATGAGCTGTGAGTCAAGAGCTTTGGGTCATTAAGCAATCAGCAGAAACTTTAGCTTACCTTTAGATAACAGTATAGAGCTCTCTCCAGCACAAACACACACTCCCTCAGATACACTACGCGAGGTACAAAAAGATAAAGGGATGACTCCTACTTAGGAGTCAAAGGAACAAATCTACCACAGTAAAACACTTCTAAGCAGAAGGGAGGATTTGTGAGAAGCTACATTTTGCTTTTTTATGTATTTCCCAGTTCACTGTCCACTTACCTGTGCACAAAGTTGCACGTTCCATCAACAGGGTCAATAATCCAAGTTGGACTATCAGTGAGGACACATTTGGAACCAGCAGCAGTGGATTCTTCTGCAATAAACCTGCATTTGGTGCAGAGTAAAATAAGTGTCCCAGAAAATTGGCTTAGATATGTGACTTGGAAAGTCAAATTCCATCTTTCTGTTTTCGAAGAGATACTTAATTTTTATCTATATATACATATATAATTTTTTTGTATAAATGTGTATGCATGTATAAACACATGTATTGCTTTTTTTCATTTGGGAATGGGGATCTTTCATAGAAACTTTGAAGGAGAGTTCTCAAATTTATAGCATACTATTTCACATGGTAAAAAAGAACTCCATTTATCTTCACTTTCCCAATACACCATTAAGAAAGTCGTGAAAATGAATGCAGAAATGGATCTGAACTGACATCCCTGGAACTCTACAAGAATTTTTTTTTATGCAGAATGAAATTTTATGGGTTAGGCCTGTCTCTCGCAGTAAGTAATATAAACTGCAAACTGTAACTGCTTCTCTTTTGCAGTCAAATTCAGTCAG